GGTAATTATTAGAGTAGGTTGGAAGGAATTAAAACAAGGGTGTAAATCCAGGGGCACTCAGGCCAGGCAGGTAATGGCAGTGAGTAACGCTGCTAGGCACAGGACGGGAGGAAGATGGTGGCAATTGAGAGAGCGGGAGAGTAGATACCTCATTCAAAGCATTCAAAAAATGTGGAAAATCTTAAAGTGTGCATTCCTAATAAAACATTTCTGGAGGGCTGGCAGTTTGTGGTCTCCTAAAAATAACAAAATTTACCATCTCTAAATTTACCCAGGTTTCTGTCCTCCCTCCTCCTTTGATCAGAAGGTATGGGAGTGGTTCAGCCATCAGTACAGGGAAGATGGTTTCCTGACACTCAAGAGTGATGGGAAAACATGGTCATTGCCTCTAGAATTTGCCTGGGTTGCATGGCTTTGTTACTTCAGCAGTAAAAAAAAAAAAAGTGACCTGTCCTGTTTTTTTTCTCTGTCCTATCTTGCTCCTTCTGTGGCCCGGGGCAGGACTTGTGGCAGACTTTTGGAGATTTCTCTGAGTCAAGGAAGCACATTCTGATGATAGACTCATGTACCTGGGTTTTGTTTTTACATGGTTGGGGGGAGGGTGCAATTGTGACTTATGAGAATGATTTAAAGTATAATTTCTTTGACTTTGAAGCTGTCTGGGCAACTTAATTTGAACTCCTTAGTGTGCCTTTTAGACCTGGCAGCTTTCTCAAAATTCTTCTCTTGTTCCCCCACTCCCCTTTATTTTAAGAAGTAGAGTAAGGGTTTTGTCTTGTGAGCTAAGGTTGAGTTCTGGGCTCTCTGCTTCAGCCATCTGGCAGCCTGGGTTGGCCCTGTAGCTTTTCTTCTCATTCTGCAGTATGCTCCCCCAGTAGTCTTCTCAAACGCAGATCTTCCACATTCACCTTGGAAGAGCAGATTAAGATGGAGACAAGGCCTCACTCTTAGAAAATGTGGAACATGGAGAGTTAGAGACCTGGGAAGCCTTTTTTCCTCCTAAAGTCTTCCTCAGCTCACTCTTTCCTTGCAATTTCAGCAATTGAACTGCATCCTCTTACCCTAATCTAAGAACCTTTTATGTGTCAGGTACTAGCTAGACACAAGAAAGAAAAATAAGCAAAACATGGTCCCAATCTTCAGCCAGCTCACAGTTTGTTATGACACTTTAAATCATCTTGGAGAAGATATTGTTTTAAAGGTGTGTTTGACCGTACAATCCTTGGTGAGAATGAAAAATATGGGACTGTTTTTTACTTATAGAGTAGAGGTACTTGGGGTGGAGGAAGAAGGGAGAACTGCCTAAGAAGACATTACTGATAGAAGGGGAAGACCTTGACCACTTTTCGTTAAAATGAGTATATTTATTTTAAAAATTTTCAAAGGGAAATGCATTAATTTGGTTAAAATTATGCTAAAAGTATATATACTATGAAAGTCTCCCTCCCTGCCCTTGCTCTCCATCTAATTTTTTTTCAGTGCTCAATTAATGCTTTTTTTCTTTATTTTTACAGCAGTTTTACTTTTACAGAGAAATTGAACAGGAAGTACAGACAGTTCCCATACCCTCCCCCCTCACACATGCACAGTTTCTCCTCTTATTGACATGTTACATTAGTGTGTTACATTTGTTACAATTATGTATCAACATCGATACATTATTAACTTAATTTTACATTAGGGTTCCCTCTTTGTATCTTACAGTTCTGTGAGTTTTGCCTAAAGCATAATGTCATGTACTCACCATTCCAGTATCATACAGAATAGTTTTGCTGCCCTGAAAATCCTCTGAGCTCTTTCCTTCCTCCTCTACTCCTTCCTTCATCCCCTGAAACCCTGGCACCCACTGATTTTTTTTTTCATTACATCAAACATTTATCATTTCTTTGTGTTGGAGACATTCAGAAATCCTCTCTTCTAGCTAATTGAAACTATGCAATAAGTTGTTGTTAATTATAGTCACCCTGCAGTGCTTTAGAACAGTAGATACTACTCCTCCTATCTAGCTGTAGTTTGTATCTGTTAACTAACCTCTCACTATCGCCTCTCCCTCCTACCCTTTCCAGCCTCTGGTAACCACAGTCTACTCTATACTTCTCTGTGATCAACTTTCTTAGCTTCCACAGTGAGTGACAACATGTGGTATTTCTCTTTCTATTGCTAGCTTATATCACTTAACATAACGTCAAGTTAGTACATCAATTATGGGAAACAATCCCGAGGTTTCTCAAAAAACTACAGACAGAACTACCATATGATAGTATGGGATCCCACTACTGGGTAGTTCATCTTTCTTTTGCTAATTTTTTATTTGCCAATTTGTAGGAGCTCTTCATAGATTAGGAAGTTTACACTTTGTCATATGAGTTGCAAATGTTTTTCCCAGGTTTTTGTTTTTTTAATTTTAACTTGTAAACACATGAGAAGATGCCATGGGGAGTCGTGGTTTTTATATTGTTGAATTTATCATTGTTTCCTTCATGGCTTTTGCATTATCTTGGCCCACTACTGATGGCACAAAATCATTCATTCCTCTTTCCATAGTGTCCCCTTCCTCTTTTTCTTTTTAAATCTTGAATTGACAGCAAAAAGGATTTGGTACCTTCCCCGAATTTGCATTCCTGGAACTATATTCCTTGTCAGTGATAGGGTAGCCCCTGATAATTTTGTTAGGAGATTTTAGTGGTCTGAAAAATTCCCATTTTCTTGTTCCAGGCACTCTGGGAAACTGGCAGTTTCTTACGAAACTAAACATACCATTACCATATGACCTAACAGTTACATTCTTGGGCATTTATCTCAGAGAAATGAAAACTAATGTTTACGCAAAAACCTGTACATGACTGCACATCACAGCTTTGTTTGTAATAGCCCAAAGCTGGAAACAACCCAAATGTCCTTCAACAGGTGAATGGTTAAACAAACTCTGGTACATACATTTCATGGAATACTACTCAGAAATAAAAAGGAACAAGTTATTGATACATTAACAACAAAGATGAACCTCTGATGTATTATGCTGGGTGAAAATTGCAGTCCTGAAAGGTTACATACTGTATTATTCCATTTACATAACATTTTCGAAAGGACAAAATTTTAGAAATGACGAACAGATTAGTGGTTGACAGGTTTTTAAGGATGGGGAAGGGGATGGGAGAGAGGTAGGTGTGGTTACAAAAGCAACACAGGAAACTGTGGTGATGGAACTTTTCGGTATCTGACTATGGTGGTGGATACACAAACCTACATTTGTCAAAACATTATAGGGGCCGGCCCGGTGGCGCACTGCTACAGTGCGCCACTTGGGAGCGTGGCAGCACTCCCGCCCGGTGCTCCCACCGAGGGTTCGGATCCCACATACAGACCGGGCCGCTCACTGGTTGAGCGAGGTGCGGGCGCAACACCGAGGATTGCGATCCCGTTGCCGGTCCCCGGTCTGGTACGGGCGCGACACTGAGGGTTGCGATCCGTTGCCGGACACGAAAAAAGGAAAAAAAAAAAAAAGAAAGAATGTAGATTAGTGGTTTCCTGGGGCTTGGGGGGGGGGGGGGTTATGGAGAGCGAGGACTAATTGCCAATAGGCATAAGGGATCTCTTTGGGTTGATGGAAATGTTCTAAATGGGGACATGTGAATAAGATCAGTGGATTTTATCAATATCAATATCTTGGTTGTATTGTTATAATATAGTTTTGTAAGATGTTGCTATTGGAAGAAACCGGGTAAAGGGTACACAGGATCTCAATGAAAATTTCAATTGAAGAAATAAATCCCCATTTCTGCTAATACCAAATTCACCAAAAGATACTACCTGGAGGCAGTTTGAATAACTGGTGCTCTCCTGTGTTAGGACTAGCAGTGGATCAGCTGAGGGACCTAGTGCTGGCAGTGGAAGGTGGGGGAGCTGAGCAGTGCTTCGGGTTTCAGCCCTGCACTCTGCTCTGTCATGCCAGGTAAAGATCTGAGAGCACTGGCCAACATTCTCGAAGATTCTCTGGGAGAACTCGTGTGGGTAGCCCATCATACAGCCTGTTCAGGGGGAAGAGAACACTGGTTTAAGCTCCAAAACAGTCAGGGGTTGATGTTGGTGGTTGGGGGCAGGAATAGGGAAGGGTTCCCAAGATGAGCTTTGATGTGGGTGGGGCCCTCAATATTTTTGAGAGTGTAAAGGGGTTCTGACATCAAAGAGTTTGAGAACTGTTGCCTTGGCAGGAAGCACTTGGCCAAAAGCCAGTAAGCTTAAGTTGTAGTCTGGGCTTTGCTTTGTGACAGTGGACAAGTCATTTAGCCTCTTTAATTGATTTATTATTCTATAAATGCTAATAATTATCCTGTTCTATACACATTACAGAAAAGTAAGGTAATTATATATAAAGGCTTTGAAAATATGTTCTGTGCAAATGTAGGGGAGTTTAAGAGTTATACAACTAAACTACGGTTGAAGGAAAACGTAAAGAATCAGTTTCTGGCATGTTAGCTGACAGTCTGCTTATTTGTTAACTTTTTAAATTTTAGCGTCTCCTCTTAGCAATTTCCTTAGACATTTTATTACATTTTCTCCATTTCTCAGACAGCCATCATAATTATTAAAAAGAATTAAGTAAATACATCCAACAGTGTTTTCAATCAAGAAAGGATTTATATTCCTAATACCTTGAAGTAGTGGTTTAAGGTCAGGAGCTCTGCCTTTGAGAAACCACTTACTAGCTATGTGACTTTTGAAAAGTTACTTAACTCTGTGTCTTGGCCTCTCATCTGTAAAATGGGGCTCATAATTCCTTACTTTCCAGGGCAGTTATGAATATGAAAAATAATGCACAGGAAGCATTTGGCAAAAGTGGTTGGCACATAATAAATGCTCTATAAATGATAGTTGCATTAATTGTCATTAGCCTATAACAAGAGATGCAAGATTAAATTTAAGTTTCTTACCCTGTCTTTGGTGAATTATTAGCAGTAATTTCCATTTCATTTCATTTTATTCTTTTTTCTCCTTTGAAGGGCTATTGAGTGGCCAGACTTCCCCCACAAATACCAAACTGGAGAAATTGGATTCTCAGCAGGTGTTGCAGCTCTGCCTCCGCTATCAGGATCACCTGCACCAGTGTGCAGAGGCTGTTGCCTTTGATCAGAATGCTTTGGTTAAACGAATCAAAGAGGTAACGTGATACAGGAAAACTACATTGCTGGCTCATTATTGTGAGTCCCTGTAACTCTGGATTCCTTTTCTACTGGGCAGGATAGCTTTATGGGAAGTAGTAGACAAAAGTAGTAGACATTTGTCCCAATTGCCTTGGGAAGATTGTCTTTCCTGGCAGTAAATGTGATGGTGAAAAGAGGGGTGCACAGAGCCAGACTGATCTGGACTTCAGATCCTAGTTCACCACTGATTTGCTTGGGCAAGTTGCTTAGCTTCTCTTTGTCTCACTTTCCTCATATGAAAAATAGGGCTCATAGTAAGCCAGCCCAAGTGTTGGGTGATGACAAAATTGCTCAGCCAACATTAGGTGTTAAAAATTAGTGTGTGTGTGGGCTGGCCCCATTGCGCGCTTGGGAGAGTGCAGCGCTGGGAGCGCAGGGACGCTCCTGCCGTGGGTTCGGATCCTATATAGGAATGGCCGGTGCGCTCACTGGCTGAGTGTGGTGCAGGCGACACCACACCAAGGGTTGCGATCCCCTTACCAGTCACGAAAAAGACCAAAAAAAAAATTTTTGTGTGTGTGTAAAGTTCTGCCATACTCATTTGCTCCAGCTAACATTATGTCTTTAAATTAACTTTAGCTGTTTCCTGCATATAATTAATATTTTGTTTCCCAGTAGGTTATCACGTCTTTGAAAGTGGGAACCTTGACATCTCTCTCAATTATATTTTTCACTGTGTTAGCACATAAAAAGCTCAGTGATTCTTACTGGTTGTGTGGGAATGATAATGCTTATTTAACCCAGAAGGTTTTTGTGAGGAAAGAAGATAATTCACACACAGGTACTTAGTCAACTAAGGAATATGGCAAGAATGTTGTGTAATTGTTAATAACAGTAAGCAGGTACTTCTATTAAGCACTTAAATGTATCATTGACCACTCTATTACATCACACGGTTCCAGAGGCACCATGGAATAAGTAAATATATCTTCCAAAGTTTTCAGTCAAGAAAAGATTTATATTCCTGATACCTTGAAGTAGTGTCATGTAAAGGAAATGTTAGGAACTCTTTCTTAGAGAAGCCATTTATGTGTATGGCATTCCCTGGAATTGTTTAAGAAAATGGTCCTGGTCATTAACTCTGGTGAGAGAAGAAGATGGACATTAGGAAGCACAAGTGATGGGTTGAGAATCACTGCAAATTAATTTTCAGTTAGCAGTAGAGGTAGTGCATCCTTGAGGTTATGAAGTTGTCACCAGTTATATTGACAGATTTAAATTTGCCAACTCCTCCAACGTTTAGTACTTATCTTTCATAAAATATTGTATGCATATACTCTTCTGTCATGGATTAAATAGTATTATTAGGAAAAGTATTAAATATGGCCTTTCATATTGCTTGTCATTAATGTGGCCTTTCAAATATTATAAACTTATTTTACTATATTATGGTATGGTATAGAGCTTGAATTCCCAAAAATGTATCCTGATTTGAGCATCAAAAAATAAATTAAGGGGCCGGCCCGGTGGCGCACTGGAGAGTGTGCCACTTGGGAGCATGGCGGGGCTCCCGCCGAGGGTTCGGATCCCATGTGGTGACCGGTTCCCGCTCACTGGCTGAGCGCGGTGCGGGCGCAACACTGAGGGTTGCGATCCCGTTGCCGGTCCCCGGTACGGGCGTGACACCGAGGGTTGCGATCCTATACCGGTCAGTAAAAGAGACAAAAAGGAAAAAAATAAAATAAAATAAAATAAAA